TGGGTAAATTAATTGTCATAGCAGACTTTTTATCAGCCTTTCTATATCAAAATTCCTGTTATTTCTATGTTTTTAATGCTAGGATTAGGAATTACTTCTATATTTTCTAAGTACAGTTATGGAAATTGGTTTATTTCATTATTATTATCATTATATTAGCACACATCAGGTTGTTCTGTAACTTATTTGTTTAAGCATACAGCTGAAGGCCCAGAAAAGCATGTCTTACTAATCTTTAGTTACCCTCCAGATAACATAATGTATCATACATTGCAGCTATTAAAAAAAACACTTGTTTAGTAAATTTAAAATTATTTTCATCATCAAAATTTGAAGGAAATATGTTACTAATGAATTGTGGTGCTCCCTTTAAAATACATAGATGTAAGTAAATATCATAAATAAGAGTTCTCCAACATTGTTGAAATCCACACTCACTCCACTCCCCCTTCAATGAATGAAATGGGAGTGGAATGAGTGAATGAAGTCTCGAGTGTTGCCCAAATTTTTCCTTCTCAGTCTCATCCAAAATGCATGCCAGATGCCCTAAGGCTTCTGAAGAAACCTGAAGGCAGTATCTCACTTTGTGTAGGAAGGAGAATTAGTATAGCTGCAAGGTGATCCTAACTCCTAGCCTGTCTGTTGATTCTGAATACTCATTTATTTCACAATTCCTGCTTAGAGCTAAAATATTGCTTTTGTAAGAAGACATTTATTTTAATCTTAATTTCATACCGCAAATGCACAGTTACACAGCACCCCTATCCTAAATTCTGAGAATGTGAGAAAGCTAATGGTTGACTTGACCTATTCTTGTGTATGATTCTAGTCTTATTTTATTTTATTTCTTAAACCCAGTGGAATTTATCTTTCATTATGACTTTTCCTAGCCATTATTTGTCTTTGGTATGTAGATGAGCAGTAAAATACAAATGGGGTGTGTTAGCCTACCCACAAGGGGTTTGGTTACCTAACATTTCACAAGGGAATTGGCCAGTCTTAACAATCTGCATGGGGTTTGTCTAGTATCACCATTGAATTGAGCAAGCTGGCAGGAGAGAGAAAGACAGATCTAATGGCACCATTGAAGAGAATGCAAGAAAATGTAGGATGTCCTTTCTGCTCCAGCTACACATGCAGTAGCAACACCTATGAGCAGGGGGAGGAGCTAATATTGACAGGACTGAGAATTTTGTTGGGCACATGGGAGCTGGAAGTCAAAATTGGCAAGACTGACAACTTGGGAACACTAGCCTGAAGCCATGAAGCTCAAGGCTGAGGTGTCTGTGGGCATGTTTCAGAGCAGCTTTGATTGTATTGTGTTAATAATCTGTATTATAACCTTTTGACTTCCCCAGTATGGTTCTGTGTGGTCTGTTAGCTATTGCATCAGATTTTGAACCTAGCAAAACAGTGAGAGGAATAGAAAAAGGTATGGGAGTATAAAGGGCATGTCTGACATCATAGGAGTCAGTTTTGTGTTATTGATGCTATTGACAGGGACAGTTCCCCTTTGTAAAATTGGTAAAGGTCAGACATGGCAGTCGCCTTATGGCCCTTGCTCTTTTTACAAGTCCAATGCTATTCTATTTGACATTTTCTTCAGTGTTTCCATACTGTAACAAATATTTTCTATTCATATTTCTTTTCTCTTGTATTTGTCCCTTCAGAAGCTCTAGTGCTGTAGTTTATAGGGACTTATGCTGTTAATCCAATGGTGGTGCCTCTTTGGCAATTCGAATCTACAGGTGACTCCAAGGAAGAAAAATGGACACTCTCCTCATATGTGATTTATAGCTTCTCAAAAATCTGTTGAGCAGTCAGCCATGAGTTGGTTTGGACTTAACCACAATGAGTTTCAGTTTGTCCCTTAACATGGTACCATAATCTATAAAACCTACTGCCATCAAGTTGTTTCCACCTCATAGTGACCCCATTATCAGGTTTACAAGGCTGCTTACAGGTTTGCATCTTTAAAGGGTGAAGACTACCTGCTTTCTTGCTCTGTGCAGCTAGTTCATTCTTATCACTTGCCTTAGGGTCAGCAGTGCCACACATAAAGTACTACACTACTAGAGTTCTTGTTACCATGTTCTACCAACATTCGTCTACTGCAGACTTAAAAGCATTTTCTCACTCTTCTAGCTCCTCTAAAATATTCAAGTGGTCAGAGTTTTCTTTTACTAATCAAGGAGTTTTTCTCCCTCCATGTGATACCTCATTCTCTATGTTACCATGAAAAAGATTAAGATATAATTAAAATCATAGCTTCCTGTAAGAGGTTAGATTGTGTACTTCATTCAGTCTCCCCCTTTGCCACCAAACACATGTGTATAATGTGGAAGATATATAATAATTTGTCATCTAACAAAGTGAATTGAGGGTAGAATGTAATGTCCTTAATATCATCTCAGCCTTGGTTCAAAGTAAGGGTAGTTTTTGTGTGATGTGGCCTATAACAACTTTTGTCTCATGGGAAATAAAGGGAGAGAAGAACTTAGAATCAGGGGATACCTCAGTATCACGAAGAGAAGATCACGAGTGAACATGTCCTTAAACATCCTGGTTTTCTGCAGGGAAGCTCCTTGGCACAGAGGGTCAAGATATTTGGAGATTTGAAAGAAGCACTTGGCCTGCATGTGCTAAAGGAGACAATATACTTTTTCTAGAAATGATGAGATTTCTAGAAAGGCTTCCCCTAGAGCCTTCACCCTGAATTTCTTATTTCCAGCCTTTCATGTGATACTGTGGATTTTTTAATATATTTCTTGTTTTTCAGTTATTTAAGTGAGGTTAGTAGGATGAAGGAGAGGTAAATGTGCATAATTAGTAAGTCATCCTGAAACAGAAACCTTATTTTACCTTATAGTTTCCTTGATATATTATGATACTTTAGAAAAGTGTACACTTCAACTTCTAAATCCTTGGTTATATTAATAACATAGAGTTGATAAAATTATATAAGGTACCATTGGCGCTATTGTTAGAGAGAGTATGTACTTCCTAATAATAAGTCAGAGAGCTCTGGTGTCCTAGAGAGTAAGGAGTTGCATTGCTGATTCAAAAGAGAGCAATTAGAATTCACCAGCTGGTCCAAGGGAGAAAGATGGGCAATCTCCTCTATGCAGCTTAAAGACTCTGAAAACCCACTTGAGGGTCAGCTATTAATTGGTTCCTACTTGAAGAGCTGAGTTTAGTTGAGCTGAGTTGAGCTGAATAACACACCATCATCCATATCTCAGTTTACCATACATGTGTTGCTGTGATGCTGGAAAAAGGGTGGCCCGTGATGTACCAGTTTCAGCAGAGCTTACAAAGTAAGACAAACTACAAAGCAGAAGATCCACATCTGAAATAACAGACCTTCAACAGTTCTATAAATGAACAAAGAGCACTGTTGGATATAGTACCACAATATGGGCCCCCCCAAGTTGGATAGCTCTTGAAATGCAACCAAGGTAAAGCAGTTTCCTCAAAGTAGAGTTTACCCAAAATATCATGGATGGAGTAAAGCTTTCACTCAATAAAGGACCTTCATTTGCTGATCTGGCAAGACTTAAGTGAGGAGAAACAGCAACAGATATCCATTAATAACTGGGACATATAATGTACAAAATATGAATTTAGGAAAATTTGAAATTGCCAAAAGTAAAATGGAATCCATAAGGATCCATCTTAGACATTAGTGAACTGAGATGAGTTAGTATTGGCCATTTAAAATTATAATTCTTATTGTACTAAATTGGCTTATTCAGTTTGGTTATCTTGATACAATGACATGTATCTATCTTTTTCCCTGCTTATGTTGTTGCTGTTGTTGTGTGCCAGGAAATCAGAAGTGACACATAGATGACCCTCCAGAGGGTTTTCAGAGGGAGTAAATTGCACCCAAGGAGATTCCTCTTCCTTCTCCCTCAGAGTAACTGTTGTATTTGAACCACTTACCTTTGGGATATCAGCACAGCTTCTTACCACTAGGCTAATTTTTAAAATTCTTCAGGGTTAATCAAGATGCAAAAGGGAGGAGAGGAGAGCAAAAATTAACATAGATAGGTTGGTTGGAGGGAAAGTCAATATGCAATAAAGATTTGCTTAAAACTCTCAGAATCATTGTCATTGAGTCTGACCTGATCCATAGCTGACCCTCCAGTTGGGTTTCAGAGGCTGTAAATTGCATAGGAAGAGATTTCCCATCTTCCTCCCATGAAGCACCTGATAAATTCAAACCGCCTGCTTTTACCCAGGAGCCTTGACTCCTTACTCTGTAGGCCGTAAGAGCTCTGAAGGTTGGCTTAGACATTATCATTAATTACATTAAGAACTTTTACTTAACATATTTTTTCCAGATTTTTTTTTTTTCATTAAAAAGGTGCTAAAACAAAACCTATGAATTATTTCACTTTCCCAGAGACAGTGAAACTAGTGTGCTCCTGGAAACAAGAATGGCAAAGCTCTATCTCACATACTTTGGAGGTGTTTTCAGGATGGTCCAGTCCTTGGAGAAGGACATCATGCTTGGAAGGGTAGGCCAGCATAAGAGAGGAAAACCATTGACACGATGGATTGACACAGTGACTGCAGAAGTGTTTGTGTGAGATGGTGAAGTTGGGTCAGGATAGGACAAGGTTCAGAGTTGTCATTCATAGGATTGCTGGGAGTCATAGTTGACGGCACATAACAATAACAAGGAATGATTCAGTGACAAACGATGTAGTATGCTTTGTCTACTTTCACTCAGATTAAAAAGTGTTCAAAAAACCAACAATGTAAACTGCTTACTAGAATAAAATGCCATTAAATAAGTTCTTCTGCATGCACAGGTCTCCATAATTATATGTTTTTACTATATAGTGCTTTACGTAGGCATGTGACTGTCACTCAGTGAACATACATTGGCTAAAGCATCCAATATTAGGATGTGCTCCTTTCCTTGATGATAGATTGCATTAGAAGGGCTTTATAACTGAAGTGCTTTCTTTATCTTCTGGCTTTATTCACAGTAAACAGATCCAGCCTCTGTTAGGCCAGTTCAGCCAGGCAGAAGACTTACTAATGAACGCTGGAGTACAGCCAGGGACTTTAGATGGAGTTCTTTTGGATCTTGGATGTTCTTCCATGCAACTTGATGCTCCCGAAAGAGGTTTTTCACTTCGAAAGGATGGACCTTTGGACATGAGAATGGATGGTGACAGGTGAGTATTGATAAAACATTTCTCCTCACAACAAGAAATCAATTTCTCAAAAATGTTCTGAATTTTATTTCCTTTTCAGACTGTAGAATTCGTATCACATGCCCACTTCGAGCATTATCAATACATAATAAATCACATTTGTTAGTGATTTAGGTTAATTATGATAGGATTTGTTGTTTCTGGGATTTGAGATTCTAAAACAATTTTTAAATTTTGAAATACAACCAAAACTTACTGTAACAATAGTGATAAGCCTAAATTTCATGTTTATTAATAATTTTTAAAGATACAATATGGTCTTTAGACCAAAAATATTCATAAGTAAAGTGCTTAGACAGTGGTTCCATTATATATAAGCATGCGCAGACATGGTTCTTGTCAGAAACAAAAACAACTAACTATATTTAATGTGAATACATCACAAAAGGCAAAATCCTAGACCTCAGCATTTGTGCTTTGCATCTTATTTCTTGTGCAATCATTTTGGTTGAGCCTACTTCTGATGAATTGCAGTTACGGGATTGTTTAACACTAAATATAGTATCTCTTTTACACCTCTATTTTATGTCTCACAAGCCTAGCAATACTGACATATATTCTCTATTATCTTATATGTTAAATGACAAAAGAGGTTCACATTCTAGGAGACTATAGGAACCCCAAAGCTCTGCTCTTAGCTGCAAACCAAAAGGTTGGCAGTTGGAAATCCACCAGCCCTTCTACAGGAGAAAGATGTGACTGTCTGCTCTGTAACGATATACAACCTTGAAAGTCCTAAGGGATAGTTTTATTCTACACTCTAGGGTCCAGTGAGTCAGAATTGATTCAACAGCAGTGAGTCTGGGTGTTTACGAATAATTGTATTTAAACTCTAAGTGGACCTTAAGAGCTTAGACTCACAACTACTTCTTTATGCTTAACTCTCACTGGCCTGAACACCCTGTGCCTTCAAAGCTTAATCATGCTTTTCTCCCACCTGTCGTTCGCCTTCCTTCCAGATTATGAATCCTAGCCACCCCACCTTTGTGAAATTTACCTCCTAAGAAAAACATTAGACTTTATATAAATACTTTTCTAACTACTTGATCTAAATTCAGTGTAACAGAACATATTTCTGTTATACTATCTGTAGAAATAAAGTTTTCCAAATTCTTTCCCTATTTATTAGACAGTTCTATATATAAGAAATGTCTGCTTTAAAGACCAATTTAATATTGAGTTGGTTTTGGCTTTTGTTTCCACACAACGTTTTTCCTGTGGTAATTATTCACATGCAGCATTTTTCCCTGTTGTGACCTATTAACTTGGATTCTGACCCACACTTGTCAGAATCCTTCTTATTCTGAGTCTTTACCTTGTTTTTCATGTTGTTGGCATTTATAGAATGAAAAGTATGACCATAAAAATGCTTTAAAGACCAATGACTAATAGTAAAGGTCAAATATCTTCTCATGTTCAGAGATCAAAGTTGTTGTGCAGAAGTAATAAAATGTCAAGCAAATTTCTGCAGTTCCTTTGTCTTGCAAAGGAGATGCCTTTTGAAATCCAATGAACGAGGCTGTTAGTTAAGAGTAGTAAATCCCTATATTGTTAATGTAAAGACTTGTCGACAAATTATAATCAGTGGATTCAGGACTCCTGAGATTCTTTCCCAAGAACTTGAAAATAAGTTTGCCCCTGAGAATTGAATTAAGTAAATACTTAATGGATGAGATTAGACTTAAGCAGATAGACTTTTAAAAGCAGAATGGTTTCCAAGTAGTTAACATACAGTAACCTAATCAAAGTTTTTAAAAGATCTGGAGAAAATAAGTGGCACCCAAAAACAAAGAGTCAGTTTACAGGAAGACGTAGAACAGGAGAGCCAGAGATCCAAATGTGTGTAATGCTAATTAATCCAAGAGGGAGTCCAGCCAAAACATATGGCCAGTCATATCCTGTATGCTGATGTATCTCTGTGATGAAAATGGATGCAAGCGGCTTCTTTAACTTGTTGGCATTTAATATTGTCATCATATAACATATCTTCACTACTGACCCTGAGTTCAGCAAGCTTTCTGATGCTAGCAAGGCTTCTCATGTAGCAGAAAGAAATTCACAGCTTCAAGGACTTGAGAGTCCAGTTCTGTTGGCACTTGTATTCTTCATTAAAGAGTAATAAATTAGCACTGAACATTAATGTTTTATTTCTCCTGTGAGTTTAGTCATTGTGCCTCCTTGAACTCCAGAGAACTGACAAGATCAAGTATCTGAACTGGTTAAGGTGGAAGGCACATCCGGAGTCTTGTCTTCTTCACCATGTGAATGCCAACTCTGAAGTCTCCTAACACCCTCACTGCCTTCCACAATGCTACTCTTTTTGCCTTGTATCTCTGTAGAAATGTGCATAATATTAATCAGTATTCTTGGAAAGATAAAATGTAATTTTACCTGTTGTCCACTGAACTCCATTTAAGCAAAATGTTCTTTTGATACCCCTATATGATACTTGGAAGTATAACAGTACTAAGCCTAGAATTGTCCTGGTAGAGTCAGACCATTACACCATGTAATACCCTGTTTTCTGGATTTTCCATCATTAGCAGTGTCCATTCTAACATTCCATAGTTTGGGTGGTTTAATTTACAACTCGTTAAGGGCCAGCAGGAATTAGGTCAGTTAGGCCAAGAATGAAGTTTGGTAAATCCAAACCAAAACAAACCCATTGCCATTAAGTCAGTTGCCGTCTATAATGAGCCTATAGGCCCGAGAGGAATTGCCTACCGTATTTCCAAGGCTGTCAATTTTTACAGAAGCTTCCTTTTTCTCCTGCAGAACATCTGGTAGATTCAAATTGTGATTCTATAAGTTGGCAGACAAGTGTTTTAACCACTGAACTACCAGGGCACCTTTAGTAAATTGGAAAATCTAAAGTTCATTGATATTCATTCATTCATTGAGCCTATTGTACGTGTCAAACATTATATTACTTGACAATTGTAAAACAGTCTAATGCTTCCAAGAGCTGCTTTAAGTAAGCATTATTACTTTAATAGCCAAGATTGAGAGCTGTGTTTGAACAGTCAGAATTCTAATATAAAGTTGATCTGACTAAAAACCTGGAAATTATTATAGACAAAGCAAACTTACTGAAAAGGACAGTAACCCTTCTGGGGCTACTCATTGCTCTGATGGTACAGGGTACATACAGCAAGGTCAAGATTCATAGGTTCATAGGGTTGCTGTGCGTCCTAGTGGACTCAAGGGCACCTAACAACAACAACAACATTGCAGTGGGGTCAAATAAATAACCATTGGTTCTGGAAAGGTTTAACCACCACTATACCCAATCCACCTCCCCCCTTCAAAAAAAAAAAAGTTCAATGCATTTTGTTTAATGGAAAATGAACGCATTTCTTGATAATCCCATCTAGTTTGATCCTCAGGTTGTAATGCTTACTTTAGATTCCCACAATAAGCAAACTAATTTCTATTCTAAGAGTAGAAACTGTACAGTGAGAAAAGCTATCTTTTAATAAGTAAGGTCATGATTAGCTCATCATTTAAAATCATTTTGCCAATTCCCCTAAAGTCATGTACTTGATATCACTGCAGAGTGAATATGTCCTGCTACTATCATTATTCTGTTAATTTCTCTAAAGGATGGTATTGCTTTTTCCCGCTTCACCTGAAATTATCCAGGCTCCTATTCAGGCTTGCTGAGTACTACATCTTGATTACCAAGTTTCATACAATGATGACCATATTGTCACTGTTGGATGAATAAATAATGTGCATTTTCCCCCAATAAATATGCATTTTGTCATTACTTTTATTGTCATTTTGGTGAAGGAAAATTACTAGCCCCATCTTTTCTGCCTCTTCATATCTTAATAGTTATTTCATCAGTCTTATATTTACTGAAGATCCTAAGGAGAGATCTAGATTCATTCAAGCAGCATTCAGTCAGTCAGTCTTCTATCTTCCATATTGTTGTTGCTATTGTTAGGTGTCATCAAGTCAAGTATGCTCATGCTCTATCCCCACAATCACTAACTTACAGTCCATTCCTGCCGTCACTGTGCCAATCCATATCAGAAAGAAGAAATAATTCAAGTAATAATTTGAATTATAAATAATCTGAATTCAAGCATTTTCTTAGTTTTGAGAAAATCTACATGAGCAGTAAGAGCTCTTTGTGAGTTATAAGTTAAAGGTTAGTAAACACCTTAACTTCCTGTTGCTCGTGACCTTGATGAATGTCACAAACAGTCCTCACTTGTCATAATGGTGGTTATTCTAAATGGAAAAATCTATTTCATTTGTGTAAGATTTCAGTCTCTGGATTAAAAAACCTCATCCCTCCTCGACCCTGTAAGAGTGTGCCTGACTTTATGTCTCAGTACTCTGAAGTTTCACCTCTTGTCAATGAAGATTGACGTCAGTGAACTAATTGGCTCTTCTTGTGCGTAGGTACCCTGACATGCCCACCGCTGCTGATGTTGTGAACGCTTTAGATCACCAGGCACTTGCATCCATCCTGAGAACATACGGGGAGGAGAAGCACGCCAAGAAAATCGCTTCAGCAATCGTTCAGGCACGCAGCATCTACCCTATCATCCGAACCCAGCAGCTTGCCAGCATCGTTGCAGGTACCCTCATTAATTCAGAACAGTGTCTAAGAGGGAAGGAAAAAATATATATGTGTATATATATTAATCCCTCAATTCCCAGAGGATTTATTTGTACTTGAAATCTTGAAGGAGAGAGCCTTGTCTGGCCTCTAATGTAATCTTTCTTTTGGTTTTGCAAACTTTCCCACCATAACCCCTTCCCCTACACACAATTTAAAAAACCCACATATGCACACCAAAACCCTGATTTGATGATTAGGTTAATAATATAGTCTCTTCACATGAAGTAATTTATCATTTATACCTACCAAGGTGAAATATGGAATAACTGGATCAGAATTTTTTTTGTCTCTCACAGTGCCTGATAACCATCCTGCATAAGATCTGACATTGCCACTCGTAGTTTCACATTTCTGCATTTTAATATTTTGGGCACAAAGAGAATTGCATTGCCCAACTGCTAAAATAAAATCCAGTGACTCATACATCTATTCTAAACAACCAGCTAACAAAGGGTATGTGATGTATAGGTTACACCACTTTGTGAATGCTAACTAAATCAGCCTGAGGGGCTTATTGAAACATTTCATCTTTTCTGCTGTTCGCCACCATAAACCTCTTGAACCTCAGTCTAGCTAGGAGGTGCTTTATTATAGCCTTTCTGTTTGAAGACAAAGTTGTTTCACAGCTGTATTTCATGATGAAAGTTTTCCAAGGCAAAAATATAACTCCAGCAGTTATTTAACAGAATTCCAGTGGTGAATTTTTCTTATTCTTAGACCATCTGTAGCTCTTCATCATTTTCCCTTACCAAATATATTAAGATTTCTTTTCAATGGCTCATATTAAATTCCTTAAGTAGCTAAAGAAATTTTTTAGAAAAGAGTATTTGTATAACTTATAAAATACCCTGATATTGGCTGCCTCAGCCTTATTATTAACCATAGTTTAATGGATAAAACTTATAAATTTATTCATATCATTAAGATTTAGAGATCAGATAGCACTTTATGATATAATTTAATAAGGCTTTATTTTACATGGTTATGAAAATAAGTTTAAAGAGTTGAACTTTAATTTTGAAAGCTGCATACCTCAAGGCCTTTGCAAATTACCATTAAAATTCCTTTAATCAAGTAAGAACAAAATTTCTGTGGGTTATGTGGGCATAAAATATTCCATGATATTTTCTCCCAGCAAAGAGTTTACTCTAGCATGCTAACATGTCTCTCGTCTTGCTTTCTTTTTTCCTACTCCTTATTTCCTAACACATCTCCACTTTATCATTCTTTAGCTTATATGTGTTATTCCCTCCCTCCTTTCTTCAAAAGAGTAGCAATTAAAAGTTACTTTTTTAAAATTTATAACAAAATTCAACATTTTCTGGTGCTGAAAATGAGGATGGGGTCTAGAGGACATCATAAAGATGATCCAGCCAAAACAGTTTCAAGAAACACAAGCTCTATGGTTGTCAGGGTGGGAGGCTGGTAAAAGGTTTGCTGGTGGGTATCACCTTACCAATGGCAGAGTCAGTACGAGAGTAGAATTTAGAGGCTAGTGAATATGAGGAATAATTAATACTATATCTGGAGGAAATTAAGATAATTTTCCGTTTCAAGATCCGAATCTAGCTGAGAATTGTATAATAGCTCATCTGCTAAATCAACTAATCAGCCCTGAAAATGGATGGCGCTGAAGCATTGGCCCCATAAAATTTTAAAAAACAATAAATATCCTAATCTATAAACTTGGAGAAATGATACTGTAGTATTAGTTAGAAATTATTTAAATATATAGACTATGAACAATTTAAGTATTTTAGAGAGAT